TTGCATTTTTCTATAAATCACTTTTGGTAGAATGGACATTTTAACAATATTGATTCTACCAATCCATCAGCATGGTAGAGATTTCCATCTGTGCACATCATCTATAATTTCTTTTCTCAGTGATTTGTAGTTCTCCCTATAAATATCTCTCACCTCCTTTGTTAAATATATTCCTAAATATTTAAATTTCTTTGATGCTATTGTGAAAGGTGTTGCATCCTTCATTTGATTTTCAGCTTGACTGTTATTGGTGTATATGAATGCCATTGATTTGTGTGTATTAATTTTGTATCCTGAGACTTTACTGAATTTGTTTATCAATTCCAGGAGTCTCTTGGCTGAATCCTTGGAATTTGCTACGTACAATAGCATATCATCAGCAAAAAGTGAGAGTTTGACCTCTTCTGCCACCATTCGGACACCCTTAATTCCCTTTTCTTGTCTGATGACTCTGGAAAGGACTTCCAGCACTATATTGAACAAAAGTGGGGATAGTGGGCAGCCTTGTCAGGTTCCAGTTCTAAGCTGGAATTATTTCAATTTTTCCCCATTCAATATGATATTGGCTGTAGGTTTGTCATATATGGCCTTAATAATTTTAAGGAATGTCCCATCTATGCCTAATTGGTTGAGGGTTTTTATCATAACAGGGTGCTGGATTTTATCAAATGCTTTTTCTGCATCTATTGAGAAAATCATATGGTCTTTGTTCTTGCTTTTATTTATGTGGTGAATTACATTTATAGATTTGCGTATGTTGAACCAGCCTTGCATCCCTGGGAGAAAGCCCACCTGGTTGCAGTGAATTATTTTTTTGATGTGCTGTTGGATTCTGTTTGCCAAAATTTGGTTGAGAATTTTTGCATCTATATTCATGAGGGATATTGGTCTGTAGTTTTCTTTTTTTGTTACATCATTTCTTGGCTTTGGTATCAAGGTGACATTGGTTTCATAGAATAGTTGGGGAGGATACCATCCTTCTCAATGTTTTGGAATAATTTCTGCAGTATAGGTATGAGTTCTTTGTATGTTTGGTAAAATTAGGCAGTGAACTCATTTGGTCTGGGACTTTTTTTTGGAAGATTTTTTAATGCTGCTCCAATTTCTGCACTTGCTATTGGTCTGTTCGGGAGTTCTATTTCCTCCTGATTGAGCTTAGAGAGGTTGTGTGTTTCCAAGAATTTGTCCATTTCCTCCACATTTTGTAGCTTTTGGGTATATAGATTTTTATAGTATTCAAAGATAATGTTTTGTATTTTCATGATGTCTGTAGTGACTTCTCCTTTTTCATTTCTGAATTTCTGATTGAGTTTGTTAAAGTCCTTTCCTTTCTAGTTCTTGTCAGTCCAGCAAGAGGGCTATCGATTTTGTTTATCTTTTTGAACAACCAGCTTTTGGTTTTATTCATCTTG